TGGCGAAGACAGGACTCCAAGTGGACATAGAGAAGACGGAGGTGATTAGGATAACCAGCGAACCGCAGCAACAACTGGCACCAATCACCATCAACGGGAGAGGTGTGACAGAGGTTACTTCCTTCAGTCATCTGGCTAGGAAGCACCGTTTCAACTACAGGCCAGTTGAACGGATGAAGATGTCAAAGCCAGTCAGCCAGAATGGGAAAGGCCAGATACGCCTTCATCAACCTGAAACTAATTTGGAAATCTTCTGCACTCTGCCTCAGCATAAAGAACAAGATTCGGATTTTCAACACAGACTCTTATCAACAGCTGCCCACTGTGCTGGCTTCATACTGAAGATCAAATGGCCAGAAAGAATAAGTAATGAGAAACTGTGGGAAGAAACCAACCAAGAGCCGATCACCCAACAAATATGTAGGAGAAAATGGAGATGGATCGGGCATACGTTGACGAGACTGTCTAATGACACTGCACGTAATGCAGGCCATCCCTCAAGTGGAGTACCAACGGGAAGTGGCGAGTGTGTTTTCAGTGCAAGGGTGACGTGGAGGAGACCATGTGAAGAGGAGATGAATGATTATGATCAATCGTGGATCCCACTGAAGAGGACAGCAGAAAATAGAAGAAAGTGGAGATATGTTGTTGAAGTCCTATGTTTCATTCGGAACCCAAGGGAATAATAATATAACACTAAGCTAAAAAGCAGATACATTAAGGGAAGTAATACAGAATTTTCGAATCTATTGGTACGACAGCAGTCTAGGGTAGCGATAGTTTCTGAACATGTTTCTTTTGCACACAGAGCTCAGGTTGATTTAAACGAATTGCAATAGCCTCTACTGTTTGCAGTATTCGGTATCTAGAGGCCTTTAGTGAATTATCTGACACTCAATAGATGATAGAGAAAGATTCTTCACTGATACTATCTCTGTTGACTGTCTGGACGGTTTTAACAACACCTATATATAGCCACACTGTTAGGTGTTCCTGTGCACGGAAAATTAAATTCATACTAATTATCACACAATCACAATACGATGAAATTATAATCAGTTTGTCATATTTCTGTGTCCTTAAATAGCCTTACTAACTATGAGAGGTCAAAATGCACTTTTTTTTCTGACATTCGCACCTGTCTCATTACACGGCATAATATACTGAGTATCTATAAACGTGTAGACTTAGTGACTGGTTGTAGTATTGTGGCTTGTGCTACTGATAAGATTTATCAGTAGTATAGAAAGAGATGCTCATCAACATAAAAACATCAAATAGCAAGGAGATAGATTTAATGTCAGAGAAAGCAAATGATGCAGCCTGCGGGGATACATGAGAGATCACGTGAAAGGAACACAAAGAAACAATATGAAGGTCAGCTCTAGTACAACACAGAAGATCTGTGCAAATGGTGCAGTGAAGATAAGATGTAGATAATTCGGCTATTTAGAGAAATTAAATCATTCGAAAAGTATGAAAGTCTCTCGTCTTCTACCTTTACACTCTATGGTCCTCCGTAGTTGGCCCCACGATCGCCCATAAGCTGTCATCTCACATGACCTCTTCCATGTCATGTTTGAACACCCAAATCGTCGCTTCCAATTCGGATTCCACCCAACGGTTACCTCAGAGTGTGTCAGACCAATCTACAGTTTTTTAGCATTTTTTGGAGCAGTAGTCCTTTATTTCTGTTCTCTTCAGCAGATCCAAGAGAACAGTCCGACATACAGAGATTTTTCACGACGTCAATATGTGCCCTTGTTAACTCTTTGCAAGTCATTTTTCTCATCACTTATTGCGATGTGAACGGAATAACAGGTGTTACTGTGTTGGATGTAACACACAGCAGATTTGTTCTTTCATAATTCTGATAATTATTGCGTACATTCAGTTTTTCGACACGAGGGTTGTGTTTAAACACACCTTCACATACATCTTACTCAGTTTTGTTGACTAGAAAATCGTGTTTTTTTTAAAGACGGCTTACTACCTCCTACTTCTAGGAATTTAGGAGCGTGTAAATGGGTTAATGTAACCAAACTGCAAATCTTCTTACAGGATTCCATCATGAACTAACATTGGTTAGAGGGTCATTGGAAAACCTGAGAGTACTGGACAGCTGTTTTGTCCTAGTTTGGGACTCTTTATCGGAACGCACCCGCTGAAGCTCGAACCCAGAACCTTCTGCTAACAAGGTGGGCTTGGATGACAGGAAGAATACCCACAGATGGCATTCGGTAGTCCCACCATATCATGAATTGGTAGAAGTTGGAATTCATGGACCATTGGATCGGGCCCCAGTGGCTTAATGATGTACGAGCTGTAATGTTTGAATGGTTCATGGAGTCTACACCCAACACGTGCAATTGGAATGACTCATCACTCATATCAGAGATATGGAAAATACTACTACCAGTCAAGTCAAGCGATGAAAAATAGTGGAACTGTATAAATGAAGTTAGAAAGTTGTGTGAGTATTGCCTTGATATGATTATGAGCAGTAATAAATTGTGCTTGAAACTTGACGGCATTCCTTAGGTAAAAATAGCATTAGGACTGCTGAATTATACTGTCTTCTAAACCACCCCTATTGTACGCCCGGGAGTTAAAGATAAACTGCCTAATTTCGCCTCTTCTTTGTGTATCTACCAATCTGACTGCTCCTGTAGAGCCAGTTACATAGGCCGTACAATTAAGCATGTTTATCGTCAGATTTCCGAACATCATCTTTATGGTGGTTAAGTGAAGGACAAACGAAATCCATTCATAGCTGTGTTCTATCTCATCTTGTGGATACAGAACACAAGATTGATGTTAACGAGGCAGCTTTCAAGTCATCTACTGCATACCAACTAATCTAAACTTCACCTTGATATTTCGTCTACTACATATTGCTGAGTCTGGCTGTTGTAAGGAACCCAACTTAAATATCTACAAATAATTGAAATTACACTCAATCAGTTAACTATTGAAAATTATAATGTCTCTTTGTTGCTTAAGAAAGCCAAGCTGAGATGTCAAAGTCTTTAGAACACCTTCTAAATTTCTGTTTCACATTGAAATTTGAGATCCTATCATATTAGGTGATCAACCGTCGAACTTTCCAGATAAAAATCTGGTAATAATCAGTATTTATGTTATGTTTTATTATTATCCAGCATAATTTATTGGTGCCCATAATCATATCAAGGTATGCTTATGATGGTAATGGGGTGAGTCTGTGGAGGACTAAAGTTATAAAGTCACAGTTACTTGCAATTAGGTTTAAGTTCAACTTCCACAATTCATATCACATGATCCAGTGGTACGGCAAATGTGTAGGCTTTGATGATATTTTACTCCGCTGCAGACTTCGCTAAAGGGGTGGCTGAATACGCTTTGAATGACGATGTGACAGTTCCCGCAGATTCCGAAGTAAGCACCAAAGAATTAATATTCGCACACGAGCACTTGCAGGGAGTAAGACGACACAACAACAATCAAGAGAGGGTATTCTCCAAAGATGTCAATTGAAATAAAAGACATGCCGTCCTCACATTTCCCCCCTCAAACACCTGTGGCCACGAAACCTACATCTCCGGTAGAAACAGCAACATCAGTTGTAAGGTAGAAAAGACCGATGAGGCTCGAAAGAATGTCTGCCGGGACAAACTCGTTGTAGGTACATAAATTTGTTTCCTAAATTTCTAAAGATATCTGGTGTCAGCGAATTCAGTAATGAAAACTTATACCCACTACAGACATTGGTGGATTCTTGTAGGAAATTAAAAACTACTGTGAAGTGTGAATATTTTCATTCCACATCAGTAGTTGAAGTCACGCTGGCTCTCTGAGCATAATAAAATAATTTCCTTTCAAACTTATTTGGATTTTCAAATTAAACAATGAACCCATTATTAATGAATGGACCTTATTTGTTAGTTGTTCTGCAGATAATGATAGTGATACAATTATCACTATGTCTCAACACATACTACTGATAAAGTTTGCAAGTAGTGTATTGTATGTGATGTCTTTTCCAAGAATGTTTAATGACCGAGCGACAGGGAGAGTTTAGAAGAAGTATAGGCATTCCGTTATGTTATCCCACTAAAATATTAACTGTGATTCTACATACTACTGACTGAATGAAATGAGTAGTTGGATATCACCCACATCAACGATTTGATCTGAACATCGGTTGCCTGTTTCGCTCGTTTGAGGCCAGTCTCACAAGCTGTTTGTCCTCTCAGACTCAGCTAAGATAGCCCAATCCTGGTTGGCTACTTTGGCAGAATGGCGATACACTCAGTCAAATTCGCCGTCTTCAGTTTACACATTCGGTGAAGAAACTTCACTTCACAGTTTTATTTCGAATCCGAAATTATTCAAATCACAGTATGTGATCTACCTGAAACCTTGAAAGGCAATCAAGAAAGAAGGAGTAAATGCATGGCACTATATGCTACTGACCGACTGAAATAAGTAACTGGATTAGTCAAATTCCTCACAAACTACTCAATGAAGTCTGGAAAACATATTTGCTCCTGAGAATAACATTTCACACAAATCTATGCACTTAATGCGCAACACAATTTTGAAATATATATATATTGCAATTTGATACAAATTCATTGTAATAACCAGTGTTCCATTTAATTCCAGTTTAAAACAAATAAATCAGTGTTCAATTTTTTTTATTGGCTCAACCTCTTACACCATAATGTTGTGATATTATCGTGTTAATTCATAAATTATTTTAGGCCTTTTCTCGAAACCCTCCTTCCTGATAATGAAATCTGATTTATATGCATATATTATGTATGTATAGAAGAATGCACAAACGGTTATCTATATTTAAGTCTAAATGAGTATAAGAAATAGGAGTAGGATTTATCGATTGCTGACAGATTTAAAAATCTACCAAGGCCGGCCATCTTTCTTTGTGATTAACAAAGGTCTAATTAATTTCAATAATAAAATATAAAGGAAGTTGAGTAAATTACTCATTCAATTCAATGTTCAATCATCTCATCAACCATTTGATAATCTTACTTGTTTTAATTACCTATATAAGTATAATGTATTGGACATTGAACAATAATGATGTTAGTTACACGAAGAAGAAAGAAATATGCTGTAAATATAAATTGGATATAACTGAAAAAGGAATAAATAATGAAATTATTGTTACACATATTACTCATATACAACGTTTATTTCCATTTGAATCAAGAAATTCCATAGAATATAATAATCAAAAAGCCACAACATATATGAAAAATGTCTATGATTACATTATCAAACAATTATGTCAATTTCATAAAGAATTAAATAAAACTATTAGCAGACATGAATGTTGTAGAATGAACGTTGATTATAATTATTGTTTGAATGAATTGAATTCACTTGGTTCAATGCCTAAAGTGTACAGTCAGAAGAATTCATCAACAGATCAACTACCGGATACACCATCAAAGTATAATTTATCCCGCGTTTATAAACATAAATATGAAAGTATGATTTACGAATGTGAAATTTCACAGCCAAATTGAGAAACCTAAAAAAGTTTCAATTACAGTCCTGCAGGAGATCAGTCGTGAGCTCAAACTGCCCGGTGGTAACGTCTCTGATTGCAGAACTAAGTGACACGGGTTCGAATCTCAGAAATGAAATGAGTTCTTTGACGACTGTAGATACGGTTTGCTGACGAGTGCCAATAAGCATGAAACCAAGGCACAAGGCATCCTGCGAATCGCCTCTAACCATTAAATAACAATATTTTAGAATGTACCGTGATGACGAGCCGCCTAACATGGTGACCACATTGGAAACTAGACTGGTAGAATTCAAACTGAGAAAAACTAGTTACTTACTGATTAGTGTCCAATCAAAATAGTCACTATTATTCCACTCGAAGAGTTTTCTTTTTGATGTGGCTGTCTTCTCTGAGCTAGGTGGTTTGATTGCAAAGCTCTTATCATCTTTCTAGACAACATTTTCAGCTCAAGTTTTTATCTCCTGTGAACCACCATTGTCGTGATAGGTCGTTAATTCGCATCTTTATTGATCGTTTTTATTGACTTGGAATTTGAACTTTTCTTATCGTGTGATTTATTTTTTAAAAATGGATAAATTTGATCTTTAATAATGTGTATGTTAATCTCTGCTTCATCTGAGTACTCGGCTTCTAGAAATTTCCTGATATGTTTTTGGTGTTTCTACTGTTTAAAATGCCTACATTTTCCCTGTCCAGCTGGTTTCTATAACTGTCGACAAGTATCGAGAATAACGAATGATTGTTGTGGCTTTTGACGGTTAATTTATGATCTTGGATTCCGAGTTTGAAGGGGATGCTCAATTTTAGCAATATAGTGTCGCAGATGGTATAGGTCTCATCTTCATTTTCTGCTGGGTCTTTTGGTCCGCACAACAATGAGTGAATTAATTGTGTTAATATAAAATTTACCGCGTCTAGAAGCATCATCGAACACCCACTTTTAACTCTCATTGTATCTTTAAAATGCACTTAAAAATGTAATTTCGCGTGATTTAATTCTGATTGGTTAAAACCTCCTCATAAGGATGCACAGAAACATCAGTGCATTAAATATCCACTAACTGTAATCATATTTTGTTTGTATCTCAGCTGATAATTAGTTTTGTAATGATGTGGGATACAAGGGTCACTAGCATTTTCTACCCCCATACAGCCAACACATATGCACTGAAAACCGCCTACACAAAAACTTCTACCCATTCTGTAGACAATAACAAAATGACTGACCAATGGGATTGAATCAACCAATAAGATTAAAAGTCCTCACTGATGAATCAATTAGACTATAATGATCACTGGGTCCAGTAAATTGGTAGGCTATATATGTGCACTGATGATATCAAAGTCTGAATTCTTGTACAATTAAACTCTGTGGGTTGGATGCAATTTGTGCATTTTATTCTTTTTCCTGTGTCTGCATACTGCTACACATTTTACTCTAATCACTAGCTGATGTGAAATCAACGAACACTGACTGATTTTGTTTCGTTAGAAATTTCTACATGTTCATCAGCTTTACCAAGGTAATAGAAATAATAATTTGATTACTCCCACTGATAAAAATTATCAACCAATATTCTGCATATGATTACAACTAATCTCAATTTATAAGACACCATAAGTCGTGCTGTCTTTAAATGTCACCTGAATTAACTTGCTTGATTATAAATCACACGACTCATAAGGCCACTGTGATCACAGATGGAGAAAGAATACACAAGTGGAGAAGGGAAGAGGGAATATGTATTCACAAATATGTCAACTAACACATAACAATACTACTATTTTAAATAGGTGCACCATCTGTTTCCTTCACCTAACTGACTGAATTCAAGCGAGTGGTTTGTTATCAGGTGCTCCAATGGCTTCTTCTCCACATTCCATTCCAAATGTATCTAGTGGTATATTTACTGGAAAACCACTGCTTTTAGTCTCCCTATCATGAGATATTCGAAGTTCTATTTGTTGCCGTATCCACATCCCTGTTCCAATTGTCACATCCTACATCAATCAGTCCTTCTATCCATTTGCTGGTACCTGCTCTGTGGTCTCAAGCAAACACAGGTGTCACAACCTCTGAGGATTTTCGGCTGATTGAGAATTGAGCTGCAGGTAGCTTAGGTATTAAAGTGTTGTGCGCCACTTACCGCTTGAGTGTGTAAGAAGCTGTGACACAAGCAAGACAAGATAGGAGAACATTCAGAAAACCTCGATCTGTTTCTTCAAATGTACATGAATTCTGAATTTGTTTGCATACAGTACCTAGTGTCAACACAGATAATCCAAGGTACTCGAATCAATCAACACTCAGGAGGCTTTGTTTGTTTCACGTTGGCGATACAACAGAATTCAGAATTCTATGGTCAAATTTTGTAGAAGGTTAAACGAGTCATAAGCGTGATAACTGACTAGCTAGTGTGCAGTCTTACCAATACTGAATGAACCTACTGGAACAAGACTAGGTACTTCAAAACAAAATTAACAACCGGTAAATACCAGCGACAAGTCATTCGATGAAATGGGTTAATTCAGTGTTTCAACAAAACATCTATTGTCCTTCGTAAACTATTACAGACTAATTGGTAATTTGTGGCTGGACTTATCCGGCATGTTGGTTGAAATTTCGCTCGGCAAATTTTTTTTGTCAATAATTTTTAACGAAATTTTGTTATATGTTTTCTGGATTGATAGGAATTCTCATTCCCTGGCTAGTTATGTTGGTGTTCGCGTCATTTAATCTGACTGCGACACACTTAGCATATTGGTTGTAATGATTAGTTTTTCATGCTGAATGCGTCAAAACATCTCTACAATGAAGAAGATGGGGTAGTTGGGGGGTAATGTCATCTACACAAATAGTTTATTTCTTGTAGAAGTTGCAGCTTTCGACATAGTGTCATTCAATGAAGACTACGTCAAAATGTGGCTATTTTCGTGTGAAGAACAGTACTATTTTACAAAAGAATGCGATCAGTACATGGGAATCACCTATAAATGCCAACAGAAGGTAAAACCGATGTGTAAACGAACGGCTACGGAACTGCAATCCAACATAACCGACTAACATAGACGAAAATGACCTTTGAGCGTCTCACTCCATCAATGACCTTGAGCATGCGGGATAATTTCAGCCGTAATTTGTTTCTCTTTGTCTAATGAGTGTAAATTATACACTGGTTCAATGTGTCACAACTCGAGGTAACATGTTGCTGTGGCGTGTGTTACAGACAAGATTTTGCTAGAAGTATATTGTGTGTGTGTGTGTGTGTGTTCAATGTCTTATACACGAATAATAAACAGCGGAGCGACAGATTAGATGGCAAAGAGCAGAGAGTGAAAGGTGTTTGGGAAACAATATATAAAGCATGAAAGAAACAATACAAAAGAAGGAGAATACAAACAACGTTTTCAAATGAAGATTTTAGTGTGAGGCCTCTGTACTTAGCCATAAATGTACACCATTTACAAGCGTGATCACTAACTGATTTCCTTTAGAAAACCATTGAAAACCAGGGAGCACATGACAGATGTTTCGTCCTTACTCGGGACTCTTCAGCACTCATCACCCACCCTGGATCGACTCCAGGACCTTCGGTTCACAAGGACCACTGGGACGGATTTCGATGGCGCGTCAATTCTAACTTCTGACTATTCATGATGTCATTTCATGTAAGGTCTGTTTAAACGGTATTTTAATAACTGTTGATTCAACAAAGAAGCTGTCAGCCTGCGCTAGATTTCATATGTGCACGATATTTCTCCTCAAGTAATACTCATATCTAGAAAATTTACAAACAGTCTCCGTGTATTCACTCTCGTTTAGACACTCTGCTACTATGTAGTAAGGTTAGGAAGCCTGAAACACCCTTATGCATGAACTGAAAGCCTCAATAGTTATTGGGATAGTATTCTAGCAGTTAAGTTGAAAAATTGTATAGCCACAATTACAACTCACAACCTAATCAAAACTTGTCAATTTTTCTAAAAAAAATAATCAACCCATCGCATTTCACGTCTTGCTGTTTTTAAGCGAAGGCTATTCATCATTCACTGTCTGATGTGTTGTACACTGAGAATGTTGTTTGTTTTTGTCGAAACTAGCCAAATGGCTGATTTTTTGTCACTTTATCCTGCTAAAAAAAATCGATAATAATTTAGACTGTTTGCAAAAAACACTTTAGAAAGTAAATGAGACAGTTTTACTGTGAAAACAATCTATTTCTTCTTTTCATTATTACTCTCAGGACTGAGAAACAATGTATACGCTTTTTATATTTTGTATGACTGCCACACCAGATACTCGTTCATTTGCATTTAAAGACGTATTTCCAGACAGAGTTGACAGAACAGAACCTGACGGCCATTCACAGCAGCAAGACTATTTACCCAATCTGGGCAGCCTGCTTTAAACGTGGAATATCGAATAACCTCCCTTAATATATTGCATGTAATTTCTCTTGTTCACTTTGTTTAGATCTGGTGAAATATGACCGCTAACAATACTGTTCACTCTGACTAGTATTCGAAACATTCACGGCCTACGGATTTGCAAGTTTCTACTAATTATGTGAAAAAGCATAATACTCGATGGCAACTTATCCCACTACATGAGATGACAGTTCCTGAGTGATCTTCTTGATTCACAAAATGTACTCCTGAAATTTTTATAATTCGCATTCTACCAAATGCTGAGCATTTCTCGAAGGAGAAAAAGAAGAGATATCACAGTGGTGGGTTGCTTTGCCCTTCAGGTCAAATAGAGTTGTGTCACACGATCTACTGCCAATAAATCTTTTATTTAAAGATCCTGAATGAAGGGATTATGTCATGCAATAAACTCCGCTGAAAGTTCTGTGCATTTTATAAACATTGTCGAGAATAAAGCTATTATTATTATGTTGAAGACGAAATGTGTGTGTGGGGAATCAAGGAAATCCATTAAATGAATTGAATCTCAGCCATTTCACTTTCAATGGTCGATTTGTTTAGCTGTGC